GTACCGAACCGTTAAAAATGGTGCAAGAATAGGTTCATCTTCAGTATTTACGAACGCGAGAGTGTTTTCATCAAGTCCGGGTACTTCGACCGCTTTAAAGGAAAGCCGACTGCCAAATGCTAAAACGTCAATTGTTGCATTCGCGAAGGATGATGGAGCAACTACAACTACCGCTCCCGTGACTCCTAAGAGTGAGGCGATTTTGGAAACACCGGTTGGTGAAGACCTGCGACTGAGAAGGTGCGAAGGAATTTTCGAAATTGAAGACTTAAGCTTATCATCGTTTGGAATTTGCGCAAATTTACTACGAATCGAAGCTTGATTGCTGATTTCTGGATGTAGCTGTACGATAAGGTTGGTCACATCAATCACACTCGGCACGAAATCACCAGAACTGGTCAAGACACCACCTTCGTTTAGCGAAGGAACGAACCAAGCGTATGTGTTAAATCCTGGAATATTTCCACCTGAGAAAGCAGACAGATCGTTAAAAACTTAAAAATAAATATGATTTACAATTAGTTACCTTTCGTAACAATGTGAACTCCCTTGTAATTAATAATCTCCCACAATTTCGCAAATCCTCCTCGAAAGAGTTTCCCGTTTCCTTCCAAAGTTCTTGAAATCTCGAATGTTTCCGGTTTCTTGAAGATTGCCGAACTATTAACCAGGTGCGCTGCCATAAAACGGGCCTGAATATTTAGAACTCGATTAATCAAAGATCATATAGGCCGAAAACATAAGAAAAGCATACCACATCCTCGGTAGAAGCTATAACATCCCCAGCAGACTTTGAAGTCACCGTGTAAGGTTCGTAACTAGAGGAACTCGAATTACTGCTAATACAAAGATCTTTAAAGAAGCCGCTATTGTTGATATCGTTCGTAAACCCAAATTTTACATCTTCGATTCGTTTTCCTTGTTCAAGGAATATCGGCGCCAGCATTTCACGGAGGTAAGTGACCAGAGGTTTCTGGGAGATTTTTTCCACTACCGCACCAAGAAGTAACACTCCTGCATTTGAATAAGCGATGGCGTCCCCCGGATTGCCCATGTACCTTGTAAACGTTGATTGGAAATAAAACGTCTCAGATTCCGAAAGATTCATATTCTTTGTTAAAAGTCCAAATATTCTATCTTCCAAACCGATTCGATGTTGAAGGTAGTCGAGAATCGTTGGTTCCTGCCCGGAAGGTGAAGATTTAAGTATACCAGAAAGTTCAGGGATGTATTGAGAGGCGTGATCGTTTAATGACAGTTTTCCCTGGTCGATTAATTGCATGATGGCCGTAGATACATAAATTTTCGAAACACTCGCGATTCTCCAGAGGGAATTTGATGAGGCAGGGATTTTTGTTCCAGAACTCGAAGAACATGATCCATGATAAAACGAAGTGAAATTGAAAGCATTTGTTCCGGATTCATTGCGATTTACCGAAAAGTACGTGAATCCTAGCGCGTCGATTCCCGTGGTCGTTTTCAGTTTCAAGAAATAATTATTCAGAGCATCGGGTTTTTGTCCAAGCGTCGAGGAAGAGAGTAATACGATGAGGATGAATATCGAAAGTTTAAACATTGTTAAGTGATATACCAAGATTGATTGAAATGGCCGGAATGACCCCAACTTAAAAAAAACTTGTTCCGCATTTCGGCGGCGCTGCTTTTCGAGGCTGGACGTTTTACAATCATTCCACGTGCTTGTGCTTGCTGTTATTCGTCGATCAATCCTAATGTTTCCTCATGATCCTAAAGTAAATTACCTTAAGAAATCGTGCTGAGTCAAGCAGTGCTGCGGACTCAGCTATTTTGGACATTAACGATCAATAATAATCTTCAACTTCAACTTTTAATCAATTTTCACTCTAATTGTAAAAAAAAAAACAACAAAAAAACTCCCCTAATTTTAAATAAAGCGGTAATTTTGAGAAATGGGAACATGAAAAAGTCCTGTTCTCTGCCTGGCTATAACAGCTGGATGGACGAACCAAAATCGAAACAAAAATTATTTTCCAAGTGGGTGATTTGCGAACCCAGACGCAACATCGAAATGATCAGATTTCGGATTGTCAGAAGAATAACTCGCATTGGAAACCACAGCGAGTTTCTTCGAGTTGGAAATGTTGAAAAGATTATTATATTTCTCGTTTGTTTTGCAGTGTATTTTGTTATACAAGAACAATATACTGTTTAATGTCGCTCAACATGCGCGTACAGTCATTTCGCAGCACAAAAAATTCTGCTATGTAATCATATCGCACGTTGGAGTGGTTGATGCTATTTTAATCGCTGCTGCTGTGTGTTTGGACTCGAAAGTTTGGGATTGAAAACTGGTAACCATTTGCTTGAAATATTCTTTGGGGCTAAACGGTGAAAACGAAGCTGATGAAGTTATTACACTGGGAAGATTTGGCATACTTTAACTCGATTAGAAAAGAGATTGCTGGACTCGCAATTTGACAACGCAGTTGACTCTGAATGTTCAAAATACCAACAGCCGAAGAACGAGCCGCTTTACAGAAAGAGAAGGAGAAGAAACTGAAAGATCTTGAAAATGAAAGAATCGGCAGAAATTTGTCGAAGATTACGGAAAACATTAACAGTGCTTCAAGCTCGGAAGTTTCCACCCACATAAACCCTGTCACTCCCAAACCTTTATCAACTCCACCCACTATATCTTCTGCTTCAACTAGCACTATTACAAACGTTTCTCTAGTCGCTATTACAGTACCAACTGCGACCAGCAATTTCAATCCATTTAATTCAACAAAACCAACTTCTACCAGTGCTACAGCTTCAAGCACGAACGTCAACCAGACGACTAGTGCGACAAATCTAACTGCTCGACAATTGTCCTCGAATAAGATTTTAATTAATCCTTGCCAAAAGGGAAACAAATTGCTGGAACATATCAGAAATGTTCGGTGCGAATTTAGTGATATAGTTCCTGATTTTGAAGTTGGTTTTACATCCTGTATTCTATATTTAAGGTAACTTTGGCAAAAAAATATAAAAAAAAGAAGGCATTTGAATCTCTCTTCCCGCAGCTTGAAATATCATCGTTTACACCCCGAATATATTTTTACACGAATGAACCAATTGGCTAATCGATATGTTCTTCGTGTCATTCTTATTCTGGCCGATATTGTGCTTATTTTTTTCTGTATTTGTGATTTATAATTGAGTTTCGCTTGAATAGGACAATCCCCAGCACGCAATTCGAGAGATCACTAGACCATCAATCTACAATAATTTTGCTGTTGTAATTGCATGGAATATTGAAGAGGCGGGAAAATATATAGAGACTTTTAAGGCATTTGAGAATAAACCTCCTGATATGATCAAAGAACGAGTAGATTCCAGTTACTTATCGAAGGTAAAAAGTTCGCCATCTTTGTCCGGAATAAGATTATTTATTAAACGCAATGAACAGGCGAATGATTTCTTAACTCAGGTTAAATCTGTGAACAAAACCGATGTTCTTACGTTGCTTTCCAATTTTGGGGTAAGTTTTAGTATGATGTTCGATCTTTTATGCTCTAAATATATATATTTCAGTCCATTCAAAGCATAATGAATGCATCAGCGGATGAAATTGCGATGTGTCCTGGCTTGGGACAACAAAAAGTTTGTTTTCTCTCAGGCACCAAAGCAGTGATTTGTTTCATATTTTATTTAAACCAGGTTAGAAGATTACAAGAGGCGTTTGATCAACCGTTTGCCCTACAAAAGATTTGATGTAACATGATTCCGGAAAATTTTGATTGGGAATAAATGGTACCACTTAAGATTGGCCAGTGGTAGCATTAATCCAAATATATGAAATATGCTACCAATTGCTGTAGCTGCACTTTCTCTCGAAGCTGGAAATATCACTTTTAGCACTGTTATTCTTTGCAAGGCGTTGCATAGATTATTTGTTCGGCGAATTGAGATCAATATAGCTTTCAACCGTCGAAAACGTTTCCTCTTCAGCACCTTCTTTATCCTCTCTCTAGTGAATGCTGTACTCACATGGTCACTGTTAGTTGTCAGATTTTGCGTTCATGTCACGATATTCAGCAAGGATGATTACGTTGGAAAATTTTTGGACAATATAAACGATGTGCAGGTACAAACGGTGTTGTCTTTTATTGGTGGATACATACTTCGAATAAACAGTATTGCATCATCTTTATATTGTTCCGGTTGGAGTTTTTTAAGGAATTTTTCAAACTTTTTAGTGGTAACGTATCCATGGATGATCCTAAATCGATATTACCACGTTTTATCCACGTCTACGAATAAACTTATTTGCTTGATTGTCTATCGCGTTCTCTTAACTCTGTCAGTTGCAGCGGCGCTCGCATCCACGGTCTCTTACTCCCTCACTTTAGTCGATCCAGAATTTAGATCAAAAAATACCATAGTTTGTGGCGCGAACCTGATATTTATCGGGCTTTTGGATGTTGGAATAAGTACCAAAATGGTTCTGGTCACGATTGAAAGTAAAGCGATGTTGGAGCAATGTCTCCAAAGTGTGCAAACGGAAAGCTTTGACTCAACTAGAATTGATACCGATAATAGTGTTTCAGAAGGTATTTATAGATATTTTTTTCTTCTTTTCGACATATTTGTTTGAAAAGTATGAACAGCAAAGAAGAGACGACAAGAACGAAGAAATATGACGAAGTTAAAACTCATATTTCTATTCAGTATAGTAGTGAGTGCGGATTTTGCTGGTTGCGTTATGCTCATTTTGCAGCTATACGTTAAGCAATGGAGTGATGTTAGAGGTGTGATTGAGGTCTTCTCACAGCAGGCAATCGGATTGCATTTTGCTGTGGGATGGTGGTTTCTTGATTTCTATAGATTTTTCCAGTAAATATTACATCTATCATATCACGATCGAATTTACAACTAGAAAATATTATTATGTGAAAGTAAAAAAAAAAAACACGCAACGCAGATTAGTTTAGCAATTTTATCTACAAGTAATGTAAATTCTATTTGTGGCTGAGCGGGTCAGCTTATCCAAGTGGTTACGGAGCTGCACTTGAAATGCAGTGTGCTCTGCACGCGTAGGTTCAAATCCTGCAGCTGACGCTTTTTTTGGTTGTTTCGTTTTATTTCTTGGTTTTTTTTTTTTAAATTTTCTCTACTATTTTTTGTGTTGCACTTGAAAATGAAATCACAGAACAATATATTTATATAGATGTATCGCAATTATTCGTTATGATAATAATAATATTGCACAAATTCATTCATTTAAGGGTTTGCCAGAGAGCGGATTCCCAGAAATATATCGATCCGTTGGCGAAACGGGCGACGCAACGTACGCAGTTGAAACCGATGAATACGGAGTCGAAAGTGAACCCTTCGTGAGCGAATTCGGCGGGATGCGTAAATAGTTTAGCATAATATTATTCGTATTTGAGCGACGGCCGTCTTGTATCGATTCAATTTCATATGATTCCGTCTCGGTAAGTCTCTCCAAAAAGTTTTGATTGTAGAATTGTACCGATTCATTTGCGTTTCGGCTTCGATCGATGCTACGTTCAAAGGAAAAATTGTTTTCTCTAAACTTTAATCGTGACCGAACTTCGCTGAGTCGTTGGAAGAACGAATTTTGACGGCTTTCATTTGAATCTGCTTCGATGACGGACAATTGGTTATTATCGTAGTGGAGTTGCGAATTCACAAAGTTTTTCGTGTAAAACTCTGGTGGAATTGAATCCATTGTGGTGTGGACGATGGGATTGTTGGGAGGATCCTGGGCAGTTGAAAATGTTTTAGAATGTTTTGCTGTTGATGGGTTGCTGCTTTTGTTGGTATAGGCCGCGTAGATTTTGCAAACGCAAACGATCGTGGTGCATGTTAATGTAGCGAAATTTACCGTCAATCCATAGAGTAAGAAGGAAAACTGCGGATTTGCATCTCGAAAAATCATATAAATAGGGAATATAACGACGGCGACAAAGCCTGCAAAAAATATATGTTAAGCGATGTCAAGAGTTGAACCTATTTCATGGATATGCATACCTGCAGAGTAGGCAATGAAAGGCAGAAAAACTGTCTCTCGAAATATTGAAGGAGCTTTCCTGCACAATACTGCAATTACAATCGTGCCCAAAACTAGTAAGAAATTGAACACGCATAGAAGTGTTAATGCTACGGGGTCCGTCATTTTACATTGCGTTATAGGAATCGAAACGTTGAATTGATCCGTAGTTTTCGTGTCTAGCGTGACGGTTCTAGTACGAGGATTATATGTAAGTTCAACCACAAGCATTAGCGCCGTTTGAATGAGTACGAGTGTTCCAAGCATGTAAAGCAAGTGAACATCCGAAATAAATTGCCTTCGAGTTGCAGATCGTGATCCATTCAATACGCTATTGATATCAGGAAATAAAGCTATTAGTGATCATCAAATTCTTTTTTCTTGCATCACCTGAAAATTCGATAAAGTTTTACAGATATGGAACCAAATGCCAATACAAATCCATAAGCAAACAGCCAAGTGTGAAGGGTGCAATTAAACGACGCTGTGTCTCCCGCTCTAGCGATGACTGAAAAGTGCAACAAGATCCCGCCGCACAGGAAAATATGATTGAAGAGAGGGCTCTGTGAGGTTAAAAATGAAAAAACATCAAAAACGGTCCAAACAAAGTTTCCTTACAGATGCTCTGATGGCAGAGTGATTTCTGTAATAATGTAGTCCTCCACAAAAGATCAAGCAAGCCAATATCCCAAATGCACTAAAAATTATCATCACCACACCCGAGACAGATTGAACCACCACATAAGGACAGTCGACAAACTGATTTGTGGGCAATTCGATTCGATTTGAGACATCTGTGTTGTTGACCGCGCATCCGTCTTCTGGTTTCCAGCTAAACTTCACCTGGAGAGAGTTATTTGTCAAGCACGTGCTGGTAGTAACAATCCAATTAGATTGGTCGCACGATTTTGCTGTAAAATACGAATTAGAGATAAGATGACATTAAAATCGATCATCAAAAAAAACCAACCAAAGACATTCTTGAAGTATCTGCACGCATTATCAGCCGCAGCTTCCATTGTCGAATTATTGTAAAAGATGTCTCTCAGAAACTGTCGGATAGGTCGTGATTTTGCATTTTCCAGCAAATTGATCTGCGGAAACGTTTCGCTAGGCCACTGAATCGGTACAGCATTTTTCAATGCGGATCGAGCATACGCCCATTCTTCGGAACCCCAAGGTTCTATATTCACCATACTATCATACGGTGGCGGTGATCCGGTAGCAAGTCCGATCTGAGTCAGGTATTCTTTGGTAGGGTCAACAATGGTCGTCAGCAATTGCCACGTCATTCGTTTATCCTTTGTAGTGTTCATCATCATCAGCCCGCTTCCACCGAGAAACGTAGTTCGTCCTGGAACAAATGCAGTTGCAAGCTGATTTGCGGGATTCGAATAATTTACGCCTAATAATTTAAGAAAAATCAAAATAATGTGTAAACGATGCAAATAGGCTCCTTACCGAGACGCTGACTGTTTAGAATGGTTCCATAAAAGAATCCCGGTATATCCGCAGGACACAAATTTGAAGTGGTATCGGTTGCGTTTTTCGTACAATACAAGACTGCATTTGCGCGCTTCATTCTTCCAATGGTGTTGTTGAAATTAACAAGAAATCGGGGATCGGAAAGACCGCAATATGGAGTCTTTGAGCGAATATCGAAGAGCTTCAATCCCCAGCTGTTGAACATAGTCGCGATTAACTTCATTTCTTCGGAATAATCATCCTGAAATTTCAAGGCTGGCGAATTCGTTTTCGAAGTAACATTGATGGCTAGATCAGAAAAAGTATCCCACGTCCAATTTCCCTGGATGCCGCGAACGAATGTGCTTAGATAATGTCCGGTTGGTGGTAGAGGTGAGTTGATCTGATCGAGGGTGGTTTTATTGAAGAACATCACTCTGATATCTGAAACCATCGGAATAGCCTGAAGTTTGGAAGAGATCACGTAGTCATAGAAAGTCCCTTTCGTCATGTCATCACGTATAGAAGTACCGGTTCTCTCATAAAATTCAAGCACCCAATCGTCCAATGGCTCATTTTGGTTTATCCTCGCAATGATTTGGGAGGTTCCGATTACAATGATATCAGGGCACTGGTCGTTCGCAGTCCTATTTTCAGGACACGCGGTAAATTCTGCGGACGGCATATCCTCCCACGGTCTTAATCTAATGATCACTTTATAAGACGGATTCCGATAACAAAACTCTCGCGCAGCTTGAGCGATCGTCATAGTAACCTAACAACAGAACATCATTACAAACTACACCTTGACAATACAAATTGGCAATACTCCATCTTTATCGGCTTTTTTTCCTGCAGTAAAAAGAAAGTGTGTTTATTAAACATATTAAACATGATTCAGATTCAAATAAGTGTTAAAACCAACCATATGGTGACCAAATCTCTAAAATTTTCGACCCCGTTCCAGCGATATAATATTTTATCCCTGTTGATTCATTGTAATAATATTGTCTAAAACGAAACATCACCTTTTTCTTTAGCAAGAAATAACAAATAAAAGCTCCAGACAGACAGTACCTGAATGGTATATCAATGATTTCAGAAGTATTTCTCAAGGCTTTCAAAGGAACGTTGGCTATAACCGACTCTGGTAAACTTATATTTCTCGGCTGACCAAGAGAAACAGCGAAAAAGAACTGCACACAAACAAACAGACGGAGGAAACTAACGCCGGTCATTTTTTTCGGGGAGTATGGTATAGGATGCGAGTCTAGAAACTCTGTGAAAGTCAAATAATGGGTCTAGATTTTTTGTGGATGTCTTTTTTTTATTTTCCTTGGTGGGATGCATTGTTGCGACACTGTTGTTTTTTCATGCACTGCCCGTCTGTGTCACCGATGTTCTTAATTAGGAAAGTGCTTTCCTTTCAGGCGTCCGCTGACTTGGTTTCTTAAACAAATTAAATACACACATTCCGATAATCAATTATTTGATTGTCCTTGCTATATATTTTAGTAAATGGTGAGAATCTTCTCTGAGGAGCTCTCATATATTAAATAAAGGGTGTGTAGATCTCCGTTGATTGCTCAGTATCAAATATTTTTCCGGAAATCTGAGATTGATTCAAATTGTATCTTTTAAAATTTTTTTGATGGTTGTAAATTCGAGAATTTCAAAAAAAATAATATACATGCTGTATCTAATATTTAAAAGAGAAAATGTGTTGATTAACAGAAAAAAGAAAAATACGCTGCTTTACAGCTTTACAGAGCCAAAAAAAAAAAGATAAGATACCAAAAAATAAGATTCATCATATTGGTGTATATGACGGAGCAGTAGATCCTACCACAAAATCGTCCATTGATGTGTCAATAACGAAATGTTGTTGCTGTGGATCTGATTTCGAGACTCGATGCATACTGTTTGATGTTACTTCCGAATCCGGAGAGGTCGCTCGTTTGAGCGCATTCCGTACGTTCAGATCATCAGTACTTCCTCGAATACTTTCCAGAGTTGGAAAGACGGAACCTTGACTGAAATTTCGTAAACGGAAATAATGTGAATGTGAGCCTCTAGGTGATTGCGGAGAACCGAGGAATGAGTGGGGTGACTGAGGTAAATAAGTGCTATCTTTTGAAAGTGATTGGGGTGGAACTCTCGGGGAATAATCTTGCGGAGAGGTACTAAGATTATGCAGCTCTACATCCTCTCTAAAAGGTCGACGAATTGAAGCTTCCGATAGATTGTGCGTGCTCAAATCGAGATTTTTATTTTTCCGATCCATTCGTTCAACGCTCCTTTCAAACGAAAAATTACTCTCGTTAAATAACACTTGCGACTTCGTTGGATGCGCATCGAAATCCGACGGCTTTAACTGCAAATCGTTCTCAGTCAACTCCAAATTCAATAAATTTCCGTTAACGGATTGTTTGCGATGCTTCACACCAGAACTGAGCAGATCTTTCGTCGATGACGTGTGTCGAGCAATCAACTTTTGAGACCCATTACCTGTTTCGAAAGTTAGCTGATTTGATGATTTGTTCGTGGACTGTTTTGAGCTTTTGCTTTGATATACGAAGGC